TTTTTTTTTTTTTTTTTTTTTTTTTTTTTTTTTGTTTCTGTGCGCAGCTGGTTGAAACCGTTCCTTAAGTGTGGTTGTGACAAAGAGTTACAGCTAGTCGTAACACAAGTCGCGGGGTTTCAGGATGCCGAGCAGTCTTTAGAATAGCGGAGGCCTTTAGTGGCAACCTTTGAACCTATAATGCTAGGTAAATGCCAAGGAATAGTTTTTTACGTGAAGTCTCTAGTTATTACACATTGACATGGGCAGAACCACGGTATGTACCATATAACCATGGCTCAAGCTTTTGACCAAGCAAGGTCCATGAACTAAGCGATCTCCTGTCACAAACATAAACTCGTGGAGATATGCGTCCCGTCTTGCCCATACAGATTGGAAGTAACAGTGCTGCATGTATATCACTCAAGGACAGGCCGCTATGTTGGCGGTAGAAATTTAAATCTCTTATGTTATCTGACTGGTACAGTATATAAGAATCGGGTCGTTCAGCAAGGAAGGGGGGAGATGTCTTTATCGATAACACACCACAATCTATCATTGGAGTGGAAACCCCACATTGACTTGGTATAACTTATCAGTTAAAGCATATAAATGACAGGAGTCTCTACCTACCTATGGCATGAATAAAAGTCTCAATTGCACCTGAAGGTGCTTAGTATGCGAGTGGAACCAGAAGCCAATCGAATGGATAATAAACACAGCAGGCGGATGTAGGAATGATTACGGACTACTAGTAATCGGCTTGTTTTCCCCCTCAGAGTAGAAAAAATAAAAATAAAACAAAAACAGAGAGGCCTGGCGGCTTTGAGCCCGATGGCCAATGCGACAGTGGCAGCCACAATACTACTCTAATTCAATTGAGGGCTGATTCTTCTATTTGCTCTCACTCTCGCTCTATCTTGATTTTAAATCTTCAGTTAATAACTATATGTGGCCTATACTATGGCTCTTTCAAACTTTAGGACAACCTGAATGGATCTCTAGGAGGTAGCTCTGTGCCTATTCTACTCGCGTTTAACTCTTACCGCCCATGTCGCAAGTTCCTATATTCATGATTGTCATAGACAACTCTAGGGCGAAAGACATCCTGTCCGCACTGCCTTGCGAATACTTGCAAGTATACTAGCACGAACAAACCCACTGTGGTATTATCCAAAAAATGGATCAGAGCACAAGACCACGTAGGCCATCGCTTACTCGACATCTGCAGCGTATACTGCACATTGATGGCCATGGAAATGTAAGCTACTTTAATAATCCTTTGTCTTACATTCTACTGTACCACCAACACTCTAAGACAAGCGCTCCTGTTGATTCTTGGAAACAGAAGAATAGCAGTAGCTCACAGATTTCGTCAGATGCGGGACTTACGGCTTCGCCCCAGCAACAACAGTTCACACAACAGAGGGCACAAGAACCTCAAAGTTATCTTAATGTGAATGAAAAATCATCTCATACTCACACCAGGAATCCTACCTCCTATTCTTATATATCATTGGGCTCGAGGCATACCCCTGTGGATGGAGAACATCCTGAAAGAGTTTTAAAATCGTCAGCTCATGGGATTTCTTTCCAAAAACAAGCATCTTGTACGCCTGAGGAAATGCCAACAAAATCTGATATTTATGTTTCACCCACGAGGACCAGCAATTCCGCTCTAAGAAATGAGAGGCGGGCTACACTGCGACTAGAGGCAGAGAGGGTAGAGCTCGAGAAAAAGCTAATGAAGCTTGAGCAAGCGGAATCAGCTAATGATTCTGGTTCAATGAGACGGGAACCACGCCGTCTCACCAAAAAGCAACCATTTAGCAGCTCTAGAGCCTCAAGCGTGAGTGCAGACGAACCTAGGACCTCCAGGCGAATTTCTTCGATTTTTTCAAGTTCGAGGCGCTCATCAAGATCGCGATCAAGCTCTTTAAACGAGGATGATAAAGACGTCTCAAGACCTCAGTCGCTTGGACCTGGAGGAACACCAAAGTCCGATCACAGCACTCAATCTGCCACACGTACTCTATCCACGACCTTGCCTGAACGCCTCAGCACAGCAATCTCCAAGGAGCTAGCTGTCCAAAGCAACCCGCTACTTGCAAATCATACATCATCCCTACGATCACAAAAGTTATCTTACGCAGAAGGAACCATGGCAGTTGGTCAAGGGACTGAGAGCAATAAGAGTTTCGATAAAATTGAGGCAGATACTTCTCATGTGCAGGGGCTCAAAAAGCTTAGGCATGAGCCAACTGAACAACCTGCTCCCATATCGATGTCCATATCCCACAAACAACAAGTTTCAGATCCTTCAGAACTAGATCGTTCATCATTTGCTGCAGCATTGAACCTCAGGAAAAGAATCTCTGACAAAGCACAGCTACATGGGCGTCTCTCACAGCCCACTCACTTTCAATATAATACAACACAAGAAGAGAACCAGCATGAACTGGGTGCCAATGGTCCCTCGAGGAAAACATCAGCATCTGTCATACCCTTGAATACTAACCATCCTGGCGTTCGAAGATCTTTTATTTCCTTTCAATTAGGCTCGTCAAGGAGCGTACCAGTTAGAACACCACGAGGAAAAACTCAGGGACATCACAAGGGTTTCACATCGTCTCCGCTTGCAGGCTCCTCAACAACGAAGGACACCGCTTCTCAACCTCTCGGCGCCGTTCCAACTGAACGAGCATCCCCAAGTTTTGATGGCTTGTGCTACACGGAGCCTTCTGCATTTTCCAAGATGAATTCCTCTTCCAATACAAATCCACCACTTCCTATGACTTCATTAAAATTGTCGAATGAAGATGGCAGGGAAAACAGACACGTTCCAAGCAGTTCTCTTGGCTTTACGAGCATATCCAAGGAGAGGCCACGGACTCGTGTACCGAATAGTTCGGGGTTATCAGATCATAGCCCTAAGCCGCATTCTAGTCCAGCAATCCCCAATGCTAAGCCAAAAGAGCTTTCCGCTTTTAATCAGGGAGTGCAGCATGCATTTGAGCCTGTAAAATCACATGATAAAGCTTCGCCAGGCAATGCACTCGAAAATCACTCACAGAACCGCTCAGCGAGATCTGGGAGCCAAGATTGGGGTATTGCAGCACAAACGGGGCTGGAAGGGGGAAACACCTCCATATACCCGTGTGATTTCGACTCTAGTGGTCGAGGGGGGCCCTCACTACCTAAGGGTGGCTCAAAAGGCGCCTTGGATTACGGAATAGGAGGTTCAACTGTTTCGTTGTCGGCTAGCTTGTCCCAGTATCCAGAATCAGAGGAGTACAACACCGCAGATGAAGCTGCGTCGAGTTCTTCAAAGGCGCAAAGCGAGGAATCTATTCCGGTCAAGCAACTAGATATTGCTTCTGTTCCTGCCGGTCTTAGCAGCTTTGCTAATAATGGCTCGCCCTTCAGACTTCATCATGCCTCCCAAGCTGTGCACCCTAACACACCAGCCCTCCGGACAGAACAAGTTGGAGAAAATCCAAAACAGCTTCGGCGAGGCCAATTGGTCGCGAAGCTATTCGTCATTTGCTGCAATTGCGAGTTCTGGCACGACGTGCCGTCCGAGATATATGCAAAACTAGCTTTCCCTGCCAGTCCTTCTGCTCCTGCAAGCTACAGTCCTGCATCTGTGGTAAGAAGATCAGGCTTGGACGATCAAACATTATCTAAAGCGCAAATAGGCGCTGTGTCAGGTTCACCCATACAATTATCAAAAGAAAATTTTGCTAGTCTGAGGAACATCTCTGCATCAAAAACTGCAGCGCAGTTTCCTAACCCTGTCGTTCCATGCTGCTGGTGTGAACATCACATGAGCAGAGTGTGTTGTCAAGGATGGAGCACAGTTGTTGATTTGCGCGAGAGACACCATTAAACTAGTAATGTCCCTCCCGCCAGAACAGTTACTCGTCTCGCAATAAATGTGAGGTATACAGCTATATTTGTTGAATCGTCCTTATTGACTTGTCTAATAAAGCTTATTATTTCAGTTGTTGTGCAGAATGTTATAATGCTCGAGAATTTATATTTTATCTGTGGGTTGTTCAATTCCCTTCCTCACTAATTTCATTTTGCTTCCTAGTTTTATTAATCTATTATTTTTTTCCCTCTTCGTTGCCCTTCAAGTAACAGGTTATTTAAGAAAGGTGAGCGAATTAGATTGCTGCTCACATAAGGTGTGTAATAACTTTGATGGGCCGCTAAGATTCACCTGAGAGGTAATTTACTGGTTAGCCAAGGAAAGATACTTGTGATTGTATCTATCTGGAATTATTGTAGCCCTTGTACATTTACAGACACAGTTATCAAGGCGTGAAGTGAAGAATTGCTTGTGAATCACTGTGTTTCTGGACCTACAATGTACTAGTAAGTCGTCGCAATTCAGCGGTGGAGACCTCCCTACGTACTAGTAGGGCGTTTGGCTAAAGGCGGCATCCCCTTAACAGGCATCGCAATTACTTACAAGAGCCAAGGAGTCTATAGTAACTCCTCATCTCCCGGTTCCCTCCCTAAACTAGCATTTCCCATGGTCAGTTTTAATGATCATGGTACGCAAAAGAGGCTTCTCCAATACTTCTTCGACCTCCTCTCTTCCGGAGGGAAATCAGGTATGTCCCCAACTTAACCGCACTGCGTGCTCCTGTATTCTATCCTCTGGCGCGCGCTGTCCCTTCGCATTTGTCAGTAGCTATTGGCTGATGCCGACTAGGAACTAGAGAGTATGTACGACTACCTAGCGAAGGTTATTCTTCTCGGTCCAAGTGGTGCTGGAAAGTAAGTTTCCCTGGGAAATGGGCTCCCTAGCGTTCCACTGACATCTGGAAATGCAGGTCTTGTGTGCTCCACCGATTTGTGAAGAACGAATGTACGGCTGCGACTTCTGATTAAACCTGCTTCATACCGAGCTGGATAGCCGGCTCGCTAATACAACATGCACCTATAGGGAGAGTGCTATCGTCGCAAACGATCGGCGTCGAATTCTCCTCGAGAATCGTTAAGCTAGGAATCGGCCCTCGACGGACAAGGATAAAGCTACAACTTTGGGATACTGCAGGTACCGAAAGGTTCCGTTCCGTCTCAAGATCTTATTATCGGGGAGCGGCGGGGGCTATTCTTATCTACGATGTATCATCTCATACCTCATTTGCGTCCCTTCCTACTTTCCTCATGGATGCGCGTGCTCTTGCATCCCCTAATCTAACTGTGTTACTGGCCGGGAATAAGATGGATCTTTCATCCGACATCTCGCTCCATGGTGACACCACCGAGGACGCCACTCGGCCTCCCCCAACACCGTCCAGCACTTCCAGCAAACAGTCTGCCTTTGCATTCGGCTCGGTTGGTGGTTCTGTCCGCTCTACAAACCATCTAGCGACTGGGACGCGCATGACCGCTACGTGTGCTCCCCATGGCCGTGAAGTATGCTTTGAAGAATCCTCCTGGTGGGCTGCGAAGTCAAACATCCCCGTTGCCGTTGAAGTTTCGGCCTTCACTGGAGAGGGTGTGGAGGAACTATTCAACCGGCTGGCCAGAATCATCTTAACTAAAATTGAACTTGGTGAAATCGATCCTGACGATCCTCAGAGCGGTATACAATATGGCTACGGTGGCCTTTATGGCCATGGAACAAGCGATGGCTCCAGCATACGGAGCCGGATGACTCTCGACGACAGCGCGGTCCAACTGCACAATCGGAACCCTACAAGTGCAAGTAGGTGGAAAACTGGCATGAGAGAATGGGAGGATGTTTTCCGGTTGAGCGGCCCACGTGATAAGAACGGTGAAGGGTGTTGCTGATCTGTTGATCTTGCTCTTTTATCGTCCCCTTTGAACTGCAGCTTTCCCTTGCATTCACCGCGTACATCTTATTCTCTCCCTTTTGCGAGTTTGGTATAATTGTTTCAGATTACACATACACTAGAGCAGGTAAGGTATGCTCGTATCTTTGTTTGATTGCCCGATTGCTTGCTGTATATGCCGTCTTCTTCTTTTCACCTTCCTTTCCTTACCCGGGTATGTTCACTGGGTACTATCTCTTGCTCTTTTGCCATGGCACACCATGTAATAGGAACACTCCTTTCGATAATTGTATAGCACGATACCCCTGATGGTTTTATCATTTATTGGTATTAAACGATTTTATTCCACACTACTTTATCTACGGAATTCCCAGGTCATCCAACCAAAACGCCAGCTTCTCAGTAACCTACTAATTCCCCCCTAAGATAATACACACAATAGAACGCGATTTATACAACCCACCGCGGAAAACAACCCACTTTAGTGTGCATATTCTTCTAGAGTTACGTCAAGTAACATCCCCTTCACCCAAAAGTCAAATTATGAAGTAAAATAATAACAAATTAGATTTTCCTATTTCATATCTAATCATTTCCAAATAGGGCTTATACATCAACGCCAGCAATAAGTGTCTTGATACCCTTCCCAGCTTTGACTTCTTGAAAAGCTTGTTCCGCGTCTTCAAAACTGACAACTCCAGTGATTAGTTCCTTTACGCTAACCTTTCCTGAAGCTACTAGGTTAACCGCAAGCTTATAATCACCACTGCCGTAACGGAAACTGCCCCTAACATTCAACTCTTTCGTGCAAGCCGCCATGATGGGAAATGTGATTTCATTTCTTCCCATACCACCTTGCACGTAAGTGCCACCGGGACGAAGGACATGAATGCCTGTATGAACTGAGGGCTCAGCACCTGATGCGTCAATAACGATATCCGCTCCACGGCCGAGATCATTTTCATTGACAATTCGGTTTGCATTTTCCAATGCAGGAACCTTGCTGGGTTCGAAGGTTGCTGTTGCAGCATATTTCTTCGCAAATTCCAGCCTTCCTTTTTGGATGTCCACAGCGATGACCTTCGGGGAGCCAAAAGCCCTAGCCACCGCGCAGCACAATAGTCCCACCGGCCCGGCACCGAAGACTACCACTGATTGTCCTGGCGCAACGTTCGCTTGCTTTACAATATGCACAGCGACACTGAGAGGCTCCATCACTGCAGCTTCTTGAAGATTGATGTTTTCAGGAAGCTTGTAGCAAAAGTCCTCGGGTAAAACATAGTACTTGGCTAGCGTACCGTCGTAAGGTGGCGTTGCGGCGAAGGCCATTTTTTCGCATAGGTTATACTTGCCTGCCTTACAGGGCTCACACCGGCGACATGGTATACCAGGCTCCATAGCAACGTGATCCCCCACCTTTAATGTTGTAACAGCCGAGCCGACCTTGCTGATTACGCCAGAGGATTCGTGTCCTAGTACCATAGGATCTTTGACGACAAATTGACCAATTGAGCCATGTTCCCAGTAGTGAACCTGGTATTTTCAATCCCCAAGTCAGCAACTCAATTTTCTGGATTTCCCAGTGGGCAACCTCGTCACATACGTCACTACCGCAAATGCCGGTAAACCTGACATTCACAAGAACGTCATGAGCATCTCTCAGCTCAGGAATTGGTCGGTCTTCGAATTTGACCCTATGAATCCCTTCGAGGACAAAGGACAAGTTCTGAAAAAAAGGCAATATTCAGCTTTCCTACTGATATGAGTGGGTAATGGGGAAAGGTTATAGTTTGACTAGTACACACCTGAGCGGTCCTGGGTTGCGCATCCATGTTTAGCACTTTCTATTTGACTAAGTGAAAGAGGAAGGTGTGGTAGAGTGAGAGGAGAAATTTAGAATGATAAGTTTAAAAAGTAAAGTTGAAGGGGAATGGGGCGGGCCTAATGTTATCTTAAGTATAGTGAGGTAGTATGACTGAGTGGGCAGACGGGCCTGCAAAGTGGGATGGGACGGTGCTGTGGGTAATGGTTTAATTCAATAAGAAGGCAGCCAACAGGCTGGTCTGGATCAAAGTATTCTTCTCTATCTTCCCTTAGGATAGTTCTCATGATGGTTGTCCCTCTCCTCCCCCACTAACCAGCTGGGCTAGTGGGGCGACTCTTATGTCATTGGTCAATATTCCCCAGCTTTCTACCTCTAAAGCTGATGGAATTTAACCGCTGATTTATTTCATTTTAACCGGTTTCGATGGTTCTGTTAATCGGGAAATTAAAGCAGATAACTTAACCATCCATTGAGAAACCGATACACAAAACTGCCATCCATACCTAATTTTATGGTACATAGCGTTGTTTCTTAAGGTACTATTCCGTACATATACACCACACCTAGTACTTACCAACTAATACCGGCACGAGTATACCTGTACGTACCTAGATTTTTATTTTTTTTGTACCATATGTAGGTAGCATTTATCTTTTTCTCCCTTTTCTTCCTCGCAGGTTCTGCTCTGTATTGTCATTACGACTCTCCAGTTACTGTCCATTTAACCATGGAACTAGACTTGTTAAAAGTAGAGAGACTTGTTTCGTCACGGAATTGATGAACGTATCGTGTAAGGAATATCTCCCTCTACTATCTACTCGATAGCTGTACGTACGTACCCTACCTGCTGACTTGCTGTTCATACTAATATCAAATGTCTGCATAGCGGAAATGATGATCATGCCAAGACCACCTTTCCATAATAAGTAACTAAAACTAAACTCCATAAGCCGAAGGAAGTTATTAACTATCTATCAGTCCAAGTTGTCCATGCATTCGTCGGGCTATGATTTGACAGAAATTCGAAAACTCTTCGGCGAGATTTAGTCTGAGATACTGTTGTTACAGTGCTCAACTATCTAGTAGACATGATCCGATCCAATGCGCTTCCCTTGAGGGGTACGTTACGCGCGTTGCAGCCGAGAATTAACTACCACCTAACCGCTGCGCACCTACAAAGGCATTACCGGGTCTCTGCTCGGGTTTATGAGAGTGGACGACCTCAGTCCTTCAAGAACCAGCTATATGAGAGTACACAGCAGCGGCTGAAGCGTGAGCGCGCCGAGCAAGAGCGTTACGCACAATATCAAACTCAGTCGCAGGGAGGTCGCTATACAGCTCTAACATTCGGTATGTCCCTACAAAGACCCCGTTCGAAAATTATTACAAAACCCTATCCAACATGCCGCTAATCCCACTATGTTAGCTCTGGTGTTCTTCTCTACAGGGGCCTATTTCCTAGGGACTCTGAAGCCGCCGAGTCTTCCGGCGTCATCAACAACGAACATTCTCGAATTAGAGCCACCGCGTCACAATATCTCTCAATCAAACCTCCAGGCCGCATGGGCGGACTTCGTTGATATAATAGGGAAAGAAAACGTTTCTACAGAGAATGGGGACTTGGAAATACATTCAGGATCAGACTGGTCTTCCTATTCTAGGAAGGAAACCGAAAAGCCTTTCCTTATCCTCTACCCGTCGACCACGGAAGAAGTTTCTCAGATAATGAGGGTTTGCCATCGGCGACGTATTCCAGTGACACCGTACTCAGGTGGCACTAGTCTGGAGGGACATTTCGCATCCACCCGCGGCGGCGTGTGTATCGATTTCCGCCGCATGGACCGCGTTTTAGCTGTTCACAAACAAGACCTTGACGTAGTGGTGCAGCCTGCTCTTGGTTGGGAAGAGCTAAATGAGCAGATTTCGCAAGATGGTCTATTTTTTCCACCCGATCCTGGCCCTGGTGCCATGATAGGTGGTATGGTAGGCACTGGCTGCTCAGGGACGAATGCCTATAGGTACGGTACAATGCGGGAATGGGTCCTATCTCTGACTGTAGTTCTTGCGGATGGTACTATAATCAAGACAAGACAGCGACCGCGGAAGTCGAGTGCTGGTTATGATCTTACTAGGCTCTTTATTGGGAGCGAAGGGACCCTTGGACTTGTTACAGAAGCAACGTTGAAATTGACAGTCAAACCTAAGAGCCAGAGCGTCGCTGTTGCAAGCTTTCCGACGATTCAAGATGCTGCAAAATGCGTGGCACGTGTGGTGGAAGATGGTATACCGGTTGCTGGTGTGGAAATTCTAGATGATGTGCAAATGAAATGTATAAATGACAGCGAAGCAACTAGTCGGCGGTGGAAAGAATCACCCACCTTGTTCTTCAAGTTTACAGGCACACCCGTCGGTGTCAACGAGCAGGTAGGTACGGTTCGACAGATCGTTTCTTCCAATGCGGGCCAATCCTTTGAGTTTGCCCGCAACGACGATGAGATGAGAGAGCTGTGGAGTGCCCGAAAACAAGCTCTCTGGAGCGTAATGTCGATGAGGCGAGGCCCAGAAGATCACGTTTGGACTACTGATGTGGCAGTGCCCATGAGTCAACTGCCCAACATCATCGACGCAACGAAGCAAGACATGACCCAAAGTCGGCTGTTGGCAGGAATATGTGGTCACGTTGGGGATGGTAATTTCCACGGTAAGAAGGCCCTCTGCTCGCGCACAGCTCCTGTACTTACTTTATTTTCATAGCCATTATTCTATTCAATGAGAACGAGAGAAAGACTGCGGAAGCTGTTGTTCACCGAATGGTGAAGCGAGCAGTGGAGTTGGAAGGCACTGTCACAGGTGAACATGGTGTTGGTCTCATCAAACGTGATTACCTCGAACATGAACTGGGCGAGTCCACGGTGGATGCGATGCGGCGGGTAGGTTTGCACAAATTTGAGCGTTGCCCCCCAGATCATAGTTTCATGTGGTGATAAGTTCAGAATGCTAATGCTATAGCAACCTTCGCAGCTAAAACTAGCGTTTGATCCGCTTTGTTTGCTTAATTGCGACAAAATCGTTCGAGTTGAGCAGCCGATGCCAGAAGAGGTTAAGACATGGTGATTGTGCGTCGTTGAACATTACAAGATACAGAAGCTGGGAATAGGCGGGGGCGAAGCCGACCGTGTAACAGCTCTCTGGTTTGTCGTCATTCTACTTGCAAAGAAGAGAAAGAATAGTAAGGCCCAGCAGGCCGTCCACCAATAGAATCTGATCAAGACAATAGTAGTTTGCAGATAACTTCTCAACTGCCGTCATTCAATATCCATAACCCTTCGACTGTCTATCATAACGCCGTCAATTTCTGTACTGTCGTTCCATGTAGTCATCGCTTTTGCTGCTGTAATGGTCTGCACAATACTCCTCTGGAGACATCTATTCATTGCCTCTAGCTCCACCGTAGCCTTCCCAATGTCATTATGCAGGGCACAGAATCTTTTAGGGTCAATTATCAATACCAGAACATGTAAAACGCATGGGAACATGCACCTGGCCGAGGGTCTACTTGCTAGTAAGGCTTGTCATTTTCATGGCTTTGCATCTCCGCGTCCGCATACTGGGGACGACTGTCAATCATAACCCGGCTCAGCAGGATCATCACCATGCTCATTGCGTACAGGGCGGTTGTCGTAACCATAGCGATGTTCTTCATTGCCATCACTATACTCATTCAGTCCGAATCAGTAGGCTTCCTCCGAATTACACCCATAAGTCTGACTCTTGCTACGCAACGAAGACACGTAGTGATCATACTCGTTTCGTTTCTAAATGTTCTAGACGCTCCACTGATTCGTGTTCATAATTCCAATGGTCTCCACGCCACTCTCCTTCATCGTAATGTTCGTGTCTAACCTTCCAGGGTGGGCGCTGTTCTTCAAGTGATGCGTCCTCGTGGTATGGTTCCTGGTATCCATATTGATATTGCCCCCCTCGATTATCAAGCCCTCCGTGACTTTCGTATCTGTCCACCATGACTGCACCATCTGGAGAGTGTGACTCGGGATCTTTCAATAGCATAGACCCAAAACTACTTACAAGGCCGCTGACTAGGCCTCTGAGTGTTCCGTCACCAGCAGCCGCGGCCACAGCTTCCCCCAAGCTACTATCAGATCCGCTGGGTTCACAAGGGTTGCCATGGCCACCTTTGCGTAACGCCAGTGGCTTACCGCAGCCATGACCGGTGTCGTGCACGCCTTCCTTATGGTTTTTACCTTCAAATACGCCTTGGCGGGTGAGCTGTTCGCGCGGGTACTCCTGCTCTTCCTCAGTCTTGCCATGCCACCATTCCTCGACTGTATGGAACATGATCTGGCGTACATCGGCTGCACCATCTTCTCCAAATTCACGAAGAGCAGGGTGATGAAACACAACCTCGATTATTCTGTCCAATGTTTTTTTGTGATATCAATTTCTTCACTATCCCAGCACTCCATCAGCTGTGGTACAGTCCACTTGATAAGCTGAGAGGCTACCCGACCTGCTGGTTCGTTAGAAACGTTTGAGAAATGATCCTTAGAAAGCATAGAATGGGTGGGGTTTGATGATTCATCGTTTTCAAAGACAATGTGCTGTTGCTCTCTGCTACTTTGAATAATCTCGGAAGAGCCAGTTTGAAGCTCCACCTTTACTTGCTTGATAATAGGGAGCACGTAGGGTGCCAGAACAGAGAAAACGAATACCTTTATATGATCTTGAATCTGCTCCACCAATTCTGGTTGAACAGGTATTTTCTTGATAGCACTGTTGATCGACTTGGTAATCTCATCATGCCACTCCAACACGGGGTGGATTTGCTGATGCACCCCTTCCAGGTGGCAGGTCCATTCTTCTGGTTCATGCGGCGATACACTTTGGCTTTTTTTCTTAGCGTTCTCTGACTGTGTCCTGAATTCTTCCATTTTATTTGCCTGAGCTTCACTGTCGTCTACTAATCCAGCAGGGGTCATGCTGAGAAGATCCTATACGAAGCTCTCAGAAGGCGAACGACTGTGAACCAGTAATGACACGTACTAAAGATTGGATTTCAGACTGTGCGACCTTATCAGAAAGCTCACCTAAAACGGAGTGAAAAAACCCACCCCCAAAAGTGCCGGTAACAACAGGGTAGACGCCATTCTGCGCACCATGGAGCTCAAATTTTGTATTACGACCGACATCTGATCCACCCATCTCGATGAGACTCAGCTCTGTATAGTTTGAATATGCTGCATAGTCCTCCGGGCAATGCAAGCCAGTTCCGAGAAGACGAAAAGCTTCATGCAGGTCTTCATCGTTCCGCGTTCTCGCATACTGGCGGCCTAGCTGAATCGAACGACGGAAGACACGCCATACAAGACCTGTAGTTGTAGCAATACCAATATCCTCCGTCGCTATATAATTTTTAAGCATAACCATGGTAACCAAGAAAAGACTCAGTATCTTATGTGTTATACAGCAGAATAACATAGAGAGTGATCCAACATACCTGTCATAGGATCAACTGACAGCTCACACCCCTCATCAACTGGACCCCTGAGACGATGATCGTAATCACGAGCATCCTGCCCTTCAGCATAACAGAGAGGATGATCTATATACTCTATAGGTTCATAACATCCTAGATGTTCTATAGTCACCTCAAACTCCTTAGTCCCATATCTAGAGCACAACGTCAGTTCCTAGTACTAGAATAGTGGGAGAACTCAGTAGCTTGCCCAAAACTCATAAAACCGAGCACCCAAATCAGGATGCAGATTGCTTCAGCGCTTACATATTTCAAAGTACCGACATCAACAGCCTGGCTGTAGTCATGGATCCAGTTCCCAAAATAGACACGCTGCACGTCGAGTTTGCTGAATTTATGGCCGCCGGCCACACGAGCCAGAAACAGAGTCAACAGCGCGTCTTCGATGTCACCATGACGCCAGTTCTGGTCTTCAATATGGGGTATTGATTCAATATTACCCACCCCAAAAGCGTAGGCTTGCCCCGAGAATACGAGGGCAAGCGATAGAAGAAGACATAGGTTTTGGACAGTGCCAGACATGGTACTTCTGTTCTAGCCTTAAATGAAAATACTAGCAGTCTAGGGAGAAGAGAAGGCAAATCGCAGATAGCCCAGCTAGGCCGTGGAAACCAAGGGTTAGGGTAACGTAGTCCCAGCTCCCTTGGTCCTTCGACTATGAAAGGGCAACGTAGCCCAGGGAAATGCAGGTGTTCCGCCATACAATCTCACACTACCATTGCCAACTTGCCGAGGATGATTATATTATCATATTGTATCAGTAATAGTATGAGTGGGAATAATTCGTCTTACACCGACATGACGGTCCATCTTGGCAGCAGACATGACTGGTCATCGATGATCTCTAGGTCTCTTCTCCATCCTTGGCCGATTCTGTCCGTGGTTTCATTGAAGATATTGATGGATTTGAACGGGCTGAGGAGGAGAGATAGAGATTCTAACCCATTTATTATTTTGAATGTGATCAATAACAATACAACATACAGTGTGTGATATTTGAGATTTGGAACACCTCGCCCCGTGCATCACTGTTACCGCCTGAATAAGAACCAATAATCTGTGATGTACAGATTACACACCTATAACAGTAGGTGGTTGTCAGCAGATACATTATTTATACCATATTAGGGTGTTCCAAATTTCAATTGCTCCCAACTATACTCCGTAGTAAAAAATTTACAAGGGAGAAGCTGGTTAATTTTCTGAACTAAGAGCTATCTAGTATCTTCTGCTAGAATGCCCCTAGCTAGGCATTAGGTTCTATTCACCTCCTTCCTTGTTCTTTATTTCTTTGTCTGTTGGATCATGCCACGATGCCACCTACGTTGTGGATATCCTACTTAAGGCGGTAATATATATGGTGAATATTTGGGCAGTCATATTCAACACATACTGTTATTGTATGTAGCACCGATTCAGACCCCTCAAAGTATGACTATTCTAAAATATACTTTTGTTGGTATGAAGTGCATCTAACATCTCATAAACTACAACAGAAACAACTGACTGAGCCGCCAAAAAGGCTTCGCTGATCTATGAGTGCGCTGGGAGCAAGTTGTCAGTTTAGATTGTGTATTTACACCGGGGTATGTAGTAATCTTCAAGAAATGATATTCAATATCGTGATTTCATCTATGTGCTATAATATATATACGTGTACAGATTCGCAGGGTTCTAGCGGGAGGGGAAAGATATGACTAACAATAACAATTGGAGAGGGTTAGAGAAGGCAAGGAAGGAAGGAAAAGATGACAACAGTAATGGCATTGAAAAGTAATAACAGCCATGACAAGAATCAGCTAGGGGCTTACCAACAATAGCAGAGGACGTTCATGCCTACCTAGGCCAAGTTAAAAGCCAACCATGAATATGTCCTACAAGAGTAATTGGCGCAGCCTCTTATATTTGGTAATGGGTTAGAGCTAAACTTAAAAGAAACCTAGGCCAGTGATATGCTGCAGTACTACTGTACTCTATAATCTGATACGATGTTACCTGGGGGTTTATAGGAGCTTACTATGAACAGATTTGCCAGTTAATAGATACCTATATTAAATTCAATGGAGTAGGAAACAGTAGAATACCTCAGGTAAACGATAGAGTTGTCAACCAACAAGAATAAGGGAAAGCGTGAAATATACGGATAACAGGAGCATACTACCATATTTATATCAGTAGACAAGAGTAAGTAATTGGCTGGTTTTCCGCAGCAATACCAATACTTCTAGGTAGTATATACGTAGCAGGCACCATCTTTAAATTACTAGTCTGCCTCGTGCTCCTGGTACTTATCCCATAGTACGGAGAAGATCTAGCAGTACTATGGACTATACCCAGCCTCCGATGGATGATGTACTCCGTACTTACTAATAATTATACGGGGTACTGTTCAGGTGAAAGCTAGCACAGATGCATAAAGAGATCATATCAGGAGCAACAATATATTCTCTGATCTTTAATAACCCACTACTGACAATTATTGCAGTGTATGATTTAGAAGAAATAATGATAACAAAGGCGTATTTCAAAAAGTTGGTGGCTTAATACATGAGCCAGTTGTAGTACGTATATTCTAAACTGTCCGCCACTTTCAAACCGGGTCTCCGCATCCGTCGCGCCGGCCCCCTCCCAACCTGTTACCCAACCACTTCCGTGGCTCTCCGCCCGCAACAACCCCCACCCCCCAAATTCAGAACCTCATTCGAACTTCACCGCCGTCATCTTCCGCGTTCTCCTATTGAGCCTTGTGTCGGCGCCTCGAGTATTTTTTTACCATCCTTGGCTGCCCTGTGACCTTCTCACTCTCAGTTGCCTTGGGATTGAGTAACCAGAAATGCCTACTTATAGAAACCACGGTCATTGCTATTTGTATACATGACGATTGCGGTCTCAATCTCAACTAGAAGTTTTCCATTTTGGTCTATCCTCTACACCTAGCTGCTGACTGGTTAATTTGTTAAATTCGGCCAAAACGCATCTTTCAGCAGACTTATTATTTCCACGCATGGTGTGATCCCCTGGAAAGCCATTCATATACGGACACAGAGCTCTACACACGGCAGCGTGTGACTTTTCTCACGGGTTTTTGCTACTCCATCACTGCGCCTATGTTATGGCAACAATGCGCCCCATAGTGCAACATTAATGGTCTCTTTCCCGGCAGTCTGGAAAGAATAGGAGTGAAAGAGGGCAGCATCACATTTATCAGTCCGATGGCACACTTTGAAGAATACATTGTCCGAGATCCATCACCACCAAACACCCACAAAGTAAAAATCAGAAGCTGCGAGCCGTCCCCTAAATACAAGTGCGATGTCCATCCTGCTCCTCTGAAACCATCTGGTTCCGGGCTCCCTTCCAAATCGTCTCACAATGATACCCCAGTGCTGGCCTATTCGTTTGCCCGATTCAATCATCTCCGCGGGTCTTTTTCCTCATCGAAAGTTTCCATGCAGTCAGCCTTGCCGAAAATAAAGCAACAACTTTGCATTCTCCCTAGCGAGGCTTCGCAGGATTCTCCGCTCCTTACGCAACCACGGGGGGTAGAATTCCATCGCTTGGCAGATGTGCCTAATTTGACCACATTTCATGACGACATCGATAACTTGTCACACATAGCAGGAGGTCTTACCAAATCCGAGGCGTACACCATGCCTTTAATAAAGAAGATATCACGAAAAGATTCACCAACAACATCCCTGGATCTGTCACACTCATCCTTGGAGCATGGCGGTTTGGGAATCATCGCGACTTGCGAAAGAGGACGTCTGAGTGACCCGATCACCGATTTAGCTAGTCGGAAGAACATCCCTGGTCTTCACCACCGGTCAACTAGCGGGACTTCCCAATTTTCTTCTGCGAGTAGTTCCAGTATGAACAAGCCCGGCTCGCAGAATATTCACCTGGTGCGTCAAGCAACTCGCTCTTATACTCCACCATTAAGTCAATCACACCAGGTTTCGTCATTCGACACCGATGCCTCTGGCAATAGAGACTTAGTTGAGGGGGACCCCCTAGGCTGGTCAGGCTCAGACACGTTCTATCCGTCTGTGCGTGCATCCTCGAGGCAGACGCCACGCTTATCGTTACAGACGCATAATAACTCATTCACAAGGCTTCCTGGGATCTCTCAGACTAATGTAGCCGGTCGTTCGTCTTTCGGTTATTCAAGGGATAATGGCAGTACGTTAGATACAGCTTCACCAATATCCAGGTCATCCCTGGACTTTGTGTTTCGATCCAGGACCAAAAATAGTACGGATCCTATCGCTCGAGCAGCTACGGTACAAGCTGCGCGTCAGGCGTTCGAAGAGAAAGAAGCAGCCAAAAATCGAAAATTTGAGGAGCAACAGATGAAGGCAGAAGAAAAGCAAATAAGACGCAGAGAGAAGCACCATTGGCGAGCTTCTCTGAGAGACGAGGAAACACCTAGTCCAGTCTGGGAAAAGGAGCCACAGGACGCACCAAATCTACCCTGTGGCTCCGATCCTATCTCATCTTCACCACCGCCCGGTTCAAATTCGGGGTCCTGGAAATCTCAACACAAGAACACGTGGATGCTTTTCTTAACGTGGCTACGAACCAGAATTTTCAAGTTACGAAGAAGGATGAGGAATTTAGGTTGACGTTGTACTATTCTTGTGTTATCTAGATAGTGCTTACGTACTAGGGCATAGATAATCCCGATACTTATCTTTTATCGGATGTCAAATCTTTTATACCAGAAGACTTGGTTAGTACCGCGCGCGGCGGATTCATTGAGGACGCAGAAAAAAATCGTTGGTATAAGACCATGTTAGACCAAACCTCCATGCTAGCAGCTCTCATCGCTGGTACGTTACTCCGCACTGTAAACATCACGTGACCACACTGGCCCAATCTGCACTGCGGACCTTTACCTCAGCAAAATAGGCTACGGTATTCCAGACAGCTCAACATACATAATCATCAAAACTACGGTGTACAAGAGCGACAAAAGACGCCTTTAGTCTCCCATGCCGCACTCCACGCAACACCTTTCCTCAGACCATTCCATCTTGTAGGTACAGGTCGTCGGGTTCGCACAACCTACAGGCGCACCTCCAACTTGGAGGGAGCGCCTCCAAGAACATCTCTCATCATGGTTTATGATTGGGATGGAAAGCGGGACATCTGCTATCAAATGTATATCAAAGACAAAAAGGCTTTGGAGGAAATCATGGAGTATATGAAGGATGTATATCAATTTGCACCCAGGTGAGAAGGCCCATTTCCACATAAGTACTAAGATCGCCATCACAGCATCCACGATTAAATTAACCAGCTACGGAATTAGTAAACGTGCATTTCAAACGCAATTTAAGCGGTGGGGCTTCCCTTCAAAGCAAAATCCAGCACACAAGAACCTAGAACTCGTCGCACGCGTCAAGCAGCTTTGGGAGCGGAATACTAGCCAGCGAGACATGCTTCGAGTATTGAATGAAGAAGGTTTCGAGATCAAAGAGAGGGAGCTCATGCGGGTACGTGCTAAAAATCGCTGGTTACTCCGCGTTCCCAATGGGATGAAATCACAGTCAAATATGCAAGCATCCGCACAGCCGTCAGAGGATGAAGGCTTGCTTGCATTACAGCAAGAAGTTTACAAGAATGAGAGCTCATTCAATGACACCGAGACTCTCCTTACTGACACAGCAAGCCCACGTCCCCCATCGCCTGGCTTATCACCAGAAGTTCTAGCCAAACGCAAGGAACGACTAGAACGATTAAAAGCAGAAAGTGCAGAACGCTGGGCTACTAGAAAGCGCCGGCGCCGTACTCGAGGATGGGCAGGGCTGCCAGCCGATCCCCCGGGACCTCCACGCTTTCCCTCTGAAACGACTATTGATGAGAGTAAAAAGCACTTGAACCTGGATAACGTCATGTATCGCCAGATCAGGGATCAGTTCCAGAGAATCTGCGAGGATGCAGGGTTCATCAAGAAAACAGTTGCCGGACCAGAAAAATGGCAGGAAGCGAAAAACAAATTGATACAAGAATCGCAACATCTTCAACATATATTTTGGGAGGATCCTAATCAACTTGATGCAAAGGCCCTTGCTCTTGATGTTGTCTGCACAGATGTCACAAAGAGGATGCGAACCTTGGAAAGGCGAATGACCATTGCGGAAGCTAAAAACGCCCTTGGCGTCAATCCAGAGGAAAGTCGCCAGATACGGAATGCATTTTACAATACACTGAAAGCGGATCATTTTACAAGCAAGCTAGAGGCTGGTGATGAGCACTGGACGAATTTGAAGGAGCGGTGGATTCAAAACTCTGAGCTGCTCCAACAAATCTTGGCTCCTGGGCCAACGGATACAGAACACACTACCAAATTAAAAGCTCTGGAGGTTCTTTGTCGTGATGTCATGAAGCGACTTCGTGATGATCAAACTAAGAGGGACCCAGTTCCGAAACACTCTAATCAGGAACATGCTCACAGTCCTGATTTGGGAAGCTCTCATATTGGCAGCGCCTTTAGTGGCAGTATAACTAACGGAATCAGCACACTTGCTTCACAGGCCCTTGCAAGTGCTCCAGTGTCTTCTAGTGATTTAGGTGACTTGCAGATAGATCCCTCACTCCTGCAGGCAGCTAATGACCCCTCGTTTGCCACAGCCAACCATCAGGACTCAGGGCATACCTTTGGATACGTGGACCCCTTATTAGAGCCTTCTGCTATGCAAATTCCTGTGTATCTTCGCATTCACGCCCAAAGTTCATTGCATGGGGATTCCAAAACCTGGATTGAAAAGCTGACAACGCGATCCGTTGCTGAACTACGCCAACTAGTCAACACCAGGTATCCAGATGCCTTCATTACCAGGATTGAGGGCACAGACAAAGATGAGAGCGGGCATGAAATATCTTTCCTTATAGATGAGGACCACGAATTTGACGCTTACTTGACTCACATGCAAGGGAGAAAGGCTTCGTTTCTATTTAGCCTGGAACAAGTCTAAACGGCCTCTGTGTCATATATTGAGGACCTGTAGCATATTGTTCTGAGTGTTTAACTTGGTCTTCAGGAAAGCCAAGGTGGGCCCTCTGTGGTTTTTATACGTTAATCTCCAGTCAACGGCAGCAGCCGCTTCGGTGGGGTCTTATTAGTAGGAATAAGCATTATGTATTACAAGATAATATTGGCAGTGTCAACAGTGCTAAGATAGGTAAGACAGGACTTAGATAATCTAATGACTTTATTTCAATCTACATAGTGTAGGGCGCACGCCTTATCGTAGAAGGGTAGAAGCCCTAGAGGCATATCGACTACCCCGTTTACAGATACTAAGACGTCTCTTTGAAGAGCTCTGCGCCTATCCTGATGGGCTACAGGCCCGTAAGGCAGCATGTGGTCATGGTGTAGGGGCTTGGTCTACATGTTCAAGTGAAGAGAAGGGAAGGAGGAAAGAAAAGCGAAGGTAAGAAAACAAAGTTATACTCTTTTTTGTTTTACTTTCAACATTATATATGGCATAAGATATTGGTGCTCGTCTATTTCCCGTGTATAATTAGAGATATTATCTTTGTTGCCAAGGAAATTATATATATATATATAGACATACTCAGCTCTAAGAGATGTGGCCTCAGACCTTGTTTGATTTGGTATACAAGGGCCTATTCAACATCCAAGGCCCCCCATACTCTTCATGACCTTGGCCAGTCAAAAATGAGATGTTCACGAACAAGTAGGCCAGCTATCAACGCGAGAGGCATATATTGATAACGTTTGGTTCTCACCCTTAGAAATTTATGAATTTCCCAGATTCAAAGTACTTCCCACGTAATTATGGTCATGGTACTAGTTAGCCCTATACATGGCGCAGCTACAAGCAGTATGGGGCTCCGTAGAGCTTCTCTGCAAGACCCTACAACTGCACAGCACTGGGAGTTATGGAGACGTAAGTAACACTTTAAAAACCTATAGAGAACTTCTCCCTTCGCTTTGACAGGGTATAAACTAGTTATGGTAACAAAGTCGCTGACGATGCAGGGTGCACCCAAGAGCCAGGTAGATACTAGTCAATATTGCAATGTATTTTCAAGGAGAGATAAGTTTCTAAAAAGTTAATGACTAGCCAGTGAGAGCTTGCACAACATCCTGGAATAAGACACTAGCAGAAGGCAAAACAAATGGGGAATCATTAAAGATCCCAGCTAGTTCTTTGCTTTGTGGAGGTGATGTTTCAAAACTGTCCATAAGTGTTTGTGAAGGTTGCTGGTATCTGGTCCCGTATACACTGCTTCCAAGTAACTCTGCTAGTCCAGAATTGACCCTACCCACCCAGTCTTGGGACGGGAGGGCCTGAGATGTCTTCTTGCTGCAACCAAGTCTTTGTACATTTGCTGCTACATCCAGCACAATATAATCACCTGATCGTGAATCGGACAGCAAAGCATGGGGGCTTCTCCCCAGAGGCAGCTGGCTAAGCAAGGATAATGACTGTACATCATACACCTGCACAAAGTACTTGCATCCTTTTCTGGGCGCAGTAGGACTCTGTGGACGTTGTATAGTAACAGCGAAAGTCTGTGTATTGGGATCCACTGCCAAAAGCCGGTACGCCTTATCATTATGGGCGTAATCGACTTCCAAGCTGCCCGGTGTCCTTACTATATCATCGACTGTATCCCAAACAGACACAGATTGTGTTGAAGCGATAACAAGGTGGCACCCTAGGAACCTTGCCACACAGGGATCCCCTGGATACACCCCTGCTCTACTGTAACGGACATTGCAGCTTTGAACATCAACAAGGACGGCAATCCCAGGACTCCCAGGATACCTTGATTGCAGGCATACAGCAAGCACGGAACCATCTTGAGAAAATGCTATGGAAGCCATGTTCACGCTGTCAAGATTTTCGCCGTTGATGTGTCCCTTCAGATCGACGGTATTCCGACATTTCCAAGTCTCGAGCTGCTCTTCACCATGCCCCGTCTTGAGTCCGCTGCGCCGTCTACTGCTTGGGCACCACAAGCGTAAAACCGCGTTGCTTCCTATTGTTGCAAATTCATCGCTAACTGGTCGAGATGCAAGATCCAAGACCGGAACCGGGCCTTTCCCAGAAAAATGTGGCCCATCAACACGTGTGACAAGTTCCCACAAGCCAGACTTGCTCCATCTCCAGAATTTCAAAAATACCTCTTGATAGTCTGCGGCAATGCTGCGCATACCAGTCCTATTGCAATCAAGAGCCTCAACATCATGGGGGTTGGGGCTCCATGTATCAACTGTAGACATCCATTTCCCATCATGAGAAACATCTAGGTGAGTGACATTCGGTGCTGCAATCGGCAAACCTTCCGGGCTGATTTTCAAAGTTGTCGCGTTAGTGCGCGCGAGAGCCTGGCGAGATATATGACTATTGGAATGGATATCGTAGGTCTGGAGGACACAGGAATTTGCGGGCTGGTGACCTTCATGGGTGACTTGACGTGAGGCTGGCACGGTTATCAAGAGCCTTTCACAATATTGTGGGTGTAGTATCGCTGCAGCTGGTGTGGGTGGTGGATATACCCCCAGCCTAGGTTTGTTTATCTGTGAGTACGACTGCAGACCGGTTATGGTAGCGAATGGTTGTAGCTCTCTCGCCGATAACACTATGATAGAATTATCGGCTAGCTTGATGGCATACGAGTTGCCAGTTGAGGAGACCACAATGTTGCAGATTGGAGATGAAAGGTGTGGAAGAAACTGCTTTCGGCCTGTATCCAATTGCCATAGCACCATAACAGATTCATGACCTCCAGATATAACATAATTACCTGCATGATATTTAGCCACTTCCCACGATTATATTGCAATGAACGTACCATCGATTGACCAACGAACTACATTAACAAAGTCCCTATGCCAATGCAGCCGTCTAGGAGTCATGGTCTTCTCGCCTTTGTGTTGTTCTTCTTTACCAACAAAGTTTAGAATGTCGTGATATATTAAAATAGACCCATCTGAGCTGCCTAAGGCCAAGTCAATGCCAATCGGACCCTTCTTGTTATTCCAACTTTGTCCTTCAACCTGAGATGATGCCGTAGAATGCCGAATGTCAACACAACTAATGTTGATAGGCAAAGCCACCTCTTTCCAAGTATATTCCATGAGTTCCGGATCATTTTGGCTGAAACCTTGAGTTCCAATGAGTACACGCTGGCCGCTATATGCAATGACAGCTTGGCCATCAGAAATGCACTTTATGTGGTCAAGCCGAGCGCTTGTTTCGAGGATGACAGTTTCGTGGAGGTTCTTCTCACTTAGGTGAGCGACAACTATCTCTCTTTTTCCAGCTTTGTGATCTCGCAGAATCAGTAATGCAAAATCTTCCTCACCTTGATTAACATAAAAGGACGGGCTAACGGAGATTATTTTGCGGCCCATGGTCCAGTGTGAGACTTGTTTGCCAGATAGCCAATCCCACTTGCTAACAGAACCAGCCGAGGTAACTATGTAAAGATACTCCTGACTCGCTGGCGAAAGATTGTATCCGATGATGCTTTGATCTGGTTTCAACTGCAGTGTTCGAAAGAGACGAGAGGTTGCGACAGAATAAACATGAACGGCTGCCTCAAGCCCAACAAAAAGATACCTATAGATTGGCTTAGAAAGCTGTGATAGACACTTGAAGGAGAGAACATACCCCTCATCGCGGGTAATGATTGGGTCTATGTTGGTATACTGTCCCGCAACTGGTGTAGATAAGGACCAAGGTTCAGGGGCTGCAATCGTCGTGTCTTGGTCGATGCTATGCAATGAAGAACTATTTGCAACATGGACTGTCTGGTTGTGGTCATTCTTTTCTTTTGAAACATGAGGCATTGCTGGCCCCAAGCTTTGCTTGATCTGATCCTTGTCACGGGAAGTGCGACGTCGCTTGACTCGCTCTCTCTCGGTGCGAATCAATCTATCTTGCGCTGCATCGCTGGCTCGGGATCTTTTCGAGAGACGCATTGAAGGGTTAGAACCTGACATCGTTTATTAACAATAAAAAAAGCCTGAGATGTTGAATAGTCCAGTGACAGTAAGTCTAGGGAAAGTGAATCATGATCTCGTATGATTATTCAATAGCATTGTAGTGCTGAAAGTGCATCTAGAAACGCGTGACTTTTTTTTTTTTTTTTTTTTAAAGGTATCCCGTATCATGGAGAGGCTGCAAATGGGCTAGCCTCCTTTAGGTTAGCTTGGATTCCTTGAGTAGTAATAAGTGGGTACGTTCATACTGGAATCTTTTCATCCATTGAAGTCTCAGCACTGGTTGGATGATTAACTTGAATACTTCCATCCGTCCTTCCAAGTTCAATTATTCCGTAATAATAGGGTACAACAGAGATTGTGCGCCATCTTCACACTCAGCTATAGCGTACGGCAACCATTCTCTCAACGTATTCTGCTTCTCCAGCAGTCAGTCTAGTCGCTCCATATAACGCGAAACCGAACCAGAGATGATTATTCCTGTCCGGTGTTTTTCATGTGGCAAGGTAAGCAACATAACCTTTGTTCACTTCCTTGCTGCGGCTTATATAAGGGTCGATTAGGTCGTTGGGGATCTTTGGGAACGTTATCTACAATTACTCGATGAGGGTGTTGCGGATGGGTATGCGATACTCTTTCCCTCGTTTTTTGTGGTATTTGCGCGGCTTCTAATCAGTTGTTTCAAGTGATGCTATGGATCAACTCGGTTGCAAGCGGTATTGCTGCCGTCGAATGATCATGACCCATGTTGATTTGATTGAGAAACTTCTTCGGTAAGTGCCGTTTTAACCTTGAATGTGGCTGTTCACTGAACTATGTTTCCTTGCAGGTATAACCCAACAGAAAGAGATCGTGCAAAATCTCAAATGTAACTGGATTAAATCTCAATTGAACCTGAGTTTTGACAGCAAATCACTTTCCCAGATGGTGATGACAGATGCTCAACTTCTCAATTTATTGGCTTGTGTGAGAAATAGGCCAATACTGAATATCCGTCGTCTCGGGCTTGATGGGGTAATTAGGCACATTAACTGCTGCATCCCTGCTTGGTTATATCAAGCATATGTGTGCTATTGTCATTTTTCGAAAGTGACCGTCCATTTTCAGTATCGACAATTTTGGGGTATCGAATAACTCCGCTCTTTGCAGGGCCATGTTTTGCAGGCATATGGATGGGGAACTCTGCTTCTTTCTTGCGAGTCTTGGCATGTCTCCAGTGTTCGTTCCCCTCTTTTCTTCCTCTCCTCTCATTTGCTTAGTCTTCTAGGTAGGTGAACCGCTAAAATGCAAAATAAAAGAGGGGCTCGGATTGCATTATATATCTTAATCCATCTGTAACTATATTGTCATTGGTATATGGAATCAGTCATGGCTGTCGTAGTCGACCTAAGATAGAAGAGTTAAATTTTTATGTAAGCTCCCTGTCAGGTTGCGGTTTCAGGCAGGCAGGCTAATCAGCTAATATACAGGCAGAGTACGGAGGCGTGCACCAAAAGTCCTGGCCAGGCGCTAGTAAAGTTGGACCCACTATATTGTATACGGCCTGACAGACCGCCCAGTAATTTATATAAAATTCTACTTATATAGTATTTCTATCTACCGCCTACCTATATAGAAAAGCTAGAAGGGGAGCTTATTCAGTACCAAAGACAGACGGTGGCTTAGAGATTAGACCAGCCAGGGTATATAATAACAATTCTGGAATAGAGAGATAGAATCCCCCCCTGGAAAATAGTCCTAGATACCCGAAAACTATACTATAACTAGAGCTGGGCTGAATCTGGACTATACTAGCCCTATTTCTGCCCGCTGTCTATTATTTTTTTGTTTGGTAGTAATGTCATATAAGTAGAATTTTATATAAATTACTGGGCGGTCTGTCAGGTCGTATACAATATAGTGGGTCCAACTTTACTAGCGCCTGGCCAGGACTTTTGGTGCACGCCTCCGTACAGGTCAGGATATATACAAATAGATGGATGAAATATAACTCAGAGAGCTATAACAGAATCAGAATTAGATAGAAAGACATAATTAAAGCGTAGTATGGTAGATTATTATATTAATGAGTATAATAATATTAATTAAGTTGACTAACAAAGGTCGAGACAGGTAGTCAGATTAACTAAGTATTGGCCCGAAGACAGTTAATAAGACAGTCCTGCGGGAACAGTAGAATATCAAAATATCAATTATATATAGCTATTTTTAAGATAGTAATATCTATAGTAATAGTTTTAGTTAAATATAAATACTACATAGAATTTATAATTTAATATATAATAATAAAGAAAATTAGAATTACTTTTAAATTTTTAATAAAGAGACAAACAAAACAAAATTATAAAATAGATATTATATAGAAGTAAGATTTTCCTTGTATTAAATATACTGTAAGTACTAAGGGCGCGGATATATCGCAGTAGACAGTTAACTATAGCAGAATAGAAGTATATAATATTTATATAATATTAGCTTATTTTTAATAACACCAATATCTTTATAGTTAATACAAAATAAATATTATAAAAATATAAAAATATAAAAGTATTTAAAAATATAAAACTAAAAAATTAGAAAAATATTTATTAAATAATATTTTTTTATATTACTAATAATAGTA